CCTCTAAAAAGATATCATATAGAATCCATGAAATTTTGCAATGGATGCGGACCATCTTGTACGTTTCACAAGGAGCAGTGGTAAACGAGGGGTACAATGCTGTATAAATGGACGTTGCACGGTCTTAAAAATCTCATAATTATACTCTTTTTCGGATATAAAATACAAAGATGACTCAGTCCTCTATCAAACGGCCGCAAGAAAGCATATTTTGTTCGTGCTTTCTATGAAATATATTTGAATTTGCGAGACTATCGGAAATCCGTGCGAAAAGTACATGCTAAATAAGTAGTCCTTTTTTTACCGAGTACGGTTTTTACAAGCAGTTGAATAGCAGTGCATTCAAAAGCCAACTTCCTGCCGAGTCCTAAATATTACAGGATTATGTCGCAAGCTAATCGGTATTACAACCGCGCTCAAGCAATCCTTCCTACTCGAAAACGCATTTCAGAATTTCAGCCAACATTGCATGAGATCGGTCACGCCCAAAAGAAAAGCTATCGGGAATTCGCCGTTGTACTTTGAGTAGTTGATAAATAGTTGCCCTAATCCCAACACCAGGCGTGGCTGCATAACCCCATCTTACCCAAACTAATTCACTCACAAGTCACTGTCAATGCATTCAGCTTGCTGTGGAACACACAGGGGACATCGTTGGTAACGACAGCCGAATTGTCACACTGCGCACCCCGCTTGTAACGCTAAAAATAGGTAAAGAGCTGTCCACAAAATTCAGTGTAACAGTTGCAACGGAGTCTATAGTTGCTAACCTCGGAAATCTGTTTCACTTGTGCACATAACCACCATTTGGCCGTGTGGAGGAGATAGGATCATTTATCCTAGCTAATCAAGCACACAGTGGATACTGGACACATATTGCTAGCGACAATTCAACAAAGGATGACTGCAAATTCATAGAAGTCATGAACGATCACGAGGCGGAGACAGGCGCAGCCAATCGCTACTGGGTGTCCGAATGCAGTGGATGCCTATTGGCACGAACTCCAACGAACAACAGAATCTTCTGCTAGGTACAGTTAGAAGTTATTTTCTGTACGTAGCCCACGCATCTGAAGAAGAGCGGGGACCAGTTTCGGAAGTGCAAATAATAAGCCTCCGTTCCCTTCCCCAATAACTTAACTCATTTCTAATCCATTTACTTTCACGAAAGTTGTGGACGTTTAAATTCTTAACACAGCCCATTAAACTTTAGGCTATACACTGGCCGTAAAATATCCACTCATTTAAACATCTTGTCTCCAAATTTATTAATGTTGTTTGCAAACCATACACTACGACCCAAATCCACCGCAAAATGTTATGAATCCCACATGGCATCTTTTTATTGGCGCAAGAAATGCTCGATTTGCCACACACGAAGAATATGCAGCTTGTAGTTTGGAAAACCTGAATGCAGGTGTAGCGGCAGGTTGAATTCAAAATCCCTCGAAGTTAGAAAAGGACTTAAAACCGGAATGTACTTTCCCTTCAAGCATAAAATCTGAAGAAGACGCAATCTGCAACCAGACGGGTGGGATAATGAACACTAGGCATGCTTTCCATAAAATACTTTTTCAGTTTGTGTAAACATTGAGCACCAAAGAGAAAAAATCGCGCTAATTAAGTAGCCAAGCTTAGAGTCTGGTTTTTTCAGGCAGCTGGAAATAAGCCTGTTAAAAAGTCAAAATCCTGGCGTCGCTGCACTATCTTAAAACTGTGTCACATGGAAACTCATATTACAGACCCATTTAGGCAATCCTTTGGTGACGAAAACAGAATTTCGGTCGGCACCTCATGAGGCAGTGCGTAAACTGCAGCTCTGATGCGCATGAAGTAGTCTTGCACTGCATCTACCTTATTCTTTCTCCCAAAACGCACCGTGCATTGGTGGCAATACAAAGTTATTAGGATCGAAGGTGGGCTTGGGCGCAGCGGTTTACAGAGCCAAACCGGCCTGCCACGCGGGCCACGGCCCAGCTTCCACTCCCCGCATGTACGCGGCCGCATTCGGCCTGACCCGGAGACTGGATTAGCCCGTCAGTCGTCAATCTTCCGATCCGCGATTTTCAGCGCGTCGTGATTTCTTCCAGGAAACTAGATGCCGTAACCGAGCTGGGTTCCTTTCACTATCTCCCTCTATTACGTGTACCTTTCCCGAACACGCCGACAGGGGGATGAGGTTGAAGGCAGTGACCGATGCGTCTACGCTTGCTACACTAACTTGCGTTGATTCCGCAATCATCCAATGAAGTTCAACTTAAGAAGGGGCACATGGTGTCTATCATTCCAAAGGAGGGCCGAGTCATGCCGTTTGCCGGCAGCCCTCCATATCGTCACATCTAGTTGGTCCCGAAGAGTGTGCTGATTCGCTTTACTTTCTCTTTCCCGATAGAGCTTGTCGCTCGACTGATGATGAGACTGGACTCAGTGGCTGGCGCGGCATCTGTCTCTGCCTAATGCATGCCAAACGCACGTCCGGATGAATTTAAAAACTCCAACTGATTCAGCTCAGTCGGACAAACGCGCGTTAAGGGCCAATGCGGCTCCGTTTCTGTTCAGTGCTGCAGCAGCAGAATGGTCCGTTTTGGAGTTACTGCCCCATGCCCGCAGGTCCACTTCCGTGCAGGCGCGACTCGGCCAACCGGTGCACGCAAAAAAGAAAGAGCGGGAAGGGAGGCGGTCAAGGTTAATCGAATCGGGATTTTTACCAGGGCCTCCGAAGCCCTCGGTGGCCATCTCACAACAACCGGATTTAGAGTTGAACGTACACCAGAGGAAACAATCGGCGCCAAGTATCGAAGCCGAAAGACTAGCTGCCTCGACAGAAAGCGTTTGAAGTCGTCTTCCGGATCTGCTGCAGTTGCGGAGAAAGCAAGTACGTTGGAAAGACGGGATACGGAGGACCGAAAACACCCAGAAGCACGCAAGAAGAATGCCGCCAACTCCCATGTAGTGGCCCATCTGGCTGGACCGGAAACACCACGAAGCTCGACGAAACAGAAGACTGCACAAATAATGACGACCACGCAGATGCGATGTTTCTCTAACCCCTCCTCCTACGCAAATCAGCTTATTCATGCGCGGGGGAGTGGGTGGACGCCCCTCGGACGGCGGATTGATGCTGCATCATGATTAGTTTTACAACACTACTTAATTTATCTTTTCGAAACGAGAACGCATTTCGAAAGTTTGGTTGACATTTCATGAGTTAGCACATCTACTGTATATCTGACGGGAGAAATCTGGATAATTCGAGAACGGCGTCTTATACGACGGGGGTTGGATGACAGTAGTGTTCGGGGTCGGGAATTAGATCCACTGGACCTGGCCAACATCCCGTCACAAGTAGCAGAGTAGAGGTTTCTGACGATAGACGTCACTGAGGCCGACTGACGTAATCTCTTAGTCCTGCGGGGGTGCCCTGCGTTGTTGAGGATGGCGTCCCCTGCCCTGCCTATACGCGTCGGCGATGGGCACGGTAGGCGGAGCGCGTCATACAGTAGTGAAGGCCAGTCTCAAGACCGACCAACGTGGGCTTGACGCGCCTCCGGACTAAGAAGGCCACGTGCAATCGATGGAGCCTTTAGTCACGCAGCCCTCGACAGCGACTACACTCCTCCTCCTTGTTCCCCTGGCATCTGGTGTTGCAACCTGATATCGCGATGAGCAGCGATACACGCTGCACTGTAGCGGTAAATGTCCTAAATCAGATTTGAGCCGCTCAGGGCTATCCGCAACCCCAACTGACGGCAAATTTCCTGCTCGCCTCTGAGTGGCCCCACACACGCCACACGCTGCGAGCACTTTTCAGCAGACGCACCCCAGCTCTGCGAAGCCAGGCATCGTGACAGCTAACTACGTAGAGCGCGGTCCGAAAGAGAAGACATCGCACACGCTGCGACCCGCTCTGTTGTACGTACAGAAGAATGTGGCCAAGAAGTGATGGTTGTGAACTCACAAGAAAGACATTGGTTTATCATCGTCCTCTAAAAGCATGGATGGAAAATTGTACGTAGAGGGAGGATTCGAGGTGGGGTTAACAGACTGATTGTACCAGCGTCACTGCATGCCTCTCACAGTTCTCGCCGTCACGCTCTCCTTAAAACCATGAAGAGGCAGAAACTAGAGAACAATTACATCCTCTCAGCACATACGGGGTCCAACGATGCAAGAGGGGTGTGAGAAGTACTGTACTCGGGGGTCTTAGGGAGACGGGGGGGAGATCAGGGTGTCTGTACACAAGCGTCTCAGTTTCCCCTCTTGCGCTGAGGGTTTTGCGGCACCTACTGTACACTAGGTTGGTGTTGGGCGAAGCGGGGAGGGGAAGGACGTCTAAGAGATTCGGCAGCAGGATAATTTACGCCGCGGGGAGTGCTGTGGAGTCTGGGCGCTGGCAATCGCAGGCATTGTAACACTGGCAACGGTACTGGGAATGTCACCATGGCAACCCCCACACCGGGCTGGAGCAGGTGGAATGGCCGCCGGCTTCACGCGCGCTGACTGGCACGGGAAGGAGAGTCGGAAACACTTTTTACGTCTCAGTCTTCGGCCCATCGCCAGAGCAGCCGCGCTTCGGCCAGAATGTTTTGCCCTTCCAGGACTGCCAATGAGGTGTTGATGAGAGTCAGAGTTGTCCAGCACAGAGCGATTCGGTGCAGCAGGACACACCGACTGCGGCGGTGACGAGGTGTCACAACTGGAGCCCCTCCGGCGATCCTCCACAACCTCTGCTCCCCGATGTTTCGTTGTAGCCGGTGAAGCGAGAGAAGTTGGTCTCAGACGACTGCGGCTTGGCAGAGAGTACACGGAGGGTTGGTGCTTGCGCTTCGACCAATCGCCCACTTCCGTGACGGTCATCGAATCGCTGGAGGCATAACCGTCGGCGCAGTCAGGATGGAAGAAGCCGATGCTGGAGTCGTTGGCCAGGCGGCAAGTCGCACAACAGTCACTATTGCCCAGGCAAAAGACCTCCTCTGTCGTCAGCGGGGAAACGGCCGTCGTAGTGGGCGGAGGCGCGCCTGGTGAGTTGGGCGACACGCTGGACTGACGACTTCGAAAATGACCCATAAAGGTGGGAAAGTGCCGCAAATGCCTACTTGAACGAAGGGAAGCACTTGTGTACTTGAATTGGCCGGCTGGCAAACCTCCATTACTGTTGATGAGCGTGAGGCTACGTACCATAGAAAGGCTGGAGGTCGCAACGGGTGGCGTCGTCCCGGTTGGCGGTGCCGACAGCACCGGTAAGTGACCGCCATTGGCAGTCGTGTACTGCTCCGCAGTATCAAAACTTGAAACCATGTGCAACCGAGGCAGACCAGAGCGGCGTTTGGACTGGACTTGGAGTTCAAAAGTGCCTCGGATGATGTCCATCATGTGGCGCGAGTCAAGCAAACTTCCGGCAAGGGATGAAAGCGAGAAGTTGGAAGCGGTCAATTGGGATGAGATCGCGTTGGGGCCCCCGGTGCTGCCTCTGGTGGAGTTATTGCGCAGGCGCGAAACCCAGGTAGAGGAACCATGTCGCAGACTTGATAGAGTACTTCGCAGGAAGGGTTCAGTGGTAGCAGGGCCCGGTTGAAGGGAACGGCGCGGGGAGGAGAGAAATGGGGCCATATTGGCAGAAACTGCCTTCGAGACTGGAGCAAAGAAGGGTGCATGATGGTTGTCCTGACTACCGGCGCCACCTTCAATCGTATTGGTAGGACTAGATAGGGTCCTGTTCTCATCCTCCTCCTCTCGAATCGGAGTACAAACCTGAGTATTGATTGTCGTAACTACTGCCATCGTCGGTGCAGCTTGAAAATCGCCGGCAGCGATAGCTGGTGGGGAGGTTGAGATGGGCAGAGAGGACGCAGAGGTGTTCACGGTCAGAGGCATGTTGTCTAGGAGGGAGGGTGCCGACTGACAGGAGGTGCGGAACCTCCGCTGAAGCGGTGCCTTTTTCTCCTCCCCTTCCTCGGTCGGATTCTCCCTCAGAATCGCCATATTGGTGGATGGCGCCGCAAAGGTCGGTGGTCTGTGTGTAGGCACCTCATTGACCACACTCTGCTCGCGGTCAGAGGCCTCCAGACTGGAACGACTACTGCCCAGGTTCACACTTATGCGCGCAAAGGGTGAACCAGCATTGTTACTGTTGTTGGTACTGGCATTTTCCAGCCCGCTTTGTGCAGCCAAGCCTAGATGCTGGCCCAAGAAGAAGACTGAAAATCCTGGCGGACCGCTGCGACGTCGATCACGATTCCGCAGCATGCTCGAGGTGCGGAAGTAGAAACTGCTGTTGGGTGTGTGACGGGAAGTGAAGAAGAGGCTGGTAGAACCAACTGATGAGGGCGCGTTTGGCGGCTGTGGTGATGCTAGGAGTGAAGACACGGAAGCGCGACGTCTTCGTTCAGGTGGAGGCATCCAGTTCATGCCACTGCCCGGTCGTGAAGAGGAGGAACCGAAGTTAGCCACGGAAGAGCTTTGAGATTTGCGACCCCAGGGCGGACTACGTGCTCTGGGCGCAGAACTAGTCGCCGCCTTACTATGTAAAGTGCTCAGGGCGTTCTTAGACAGGGGAGGGAGATTTGAGGCTTTCGAGAGTGGATATTCAAGGTTGTGGTTGACAGTCAAAATGTGGTTCTGTTGGACCGGGGTCTGTGCAGGTTGGGCAGTTTCATCGTCGTCTGGAGTCTCGAAAGTCACCGTTCCGACTGCTCCTGGAGGGGCCGCCTGCCAGTCCTCCTCGGCAATGTACTTCAGCAGCTGGGGACTGCTCTTTACAGAGATCAGAGGCCGAAGGGGTCGTTTAAAGTGTCTCGAAAGAACCAGCGAATGACTACTAGCCGCGGACTTACGCAACTCCGCAAGAAGAGGAGCTCCATGCAATTGTAGCCCAGGTGCCGCTGCCGTTGCACCTGCAAGCGACGACTCGGAATCTATGTGCTCATACAGGTCTCCAGCCATGGAAGGCGTGCCAAGGCGGGAGCTGGGTCGACTGGCGAACCTAGAAACGAAGCGATTATGATCAGCCTCTAGGCCAAGACTGCGCAAATCGGTAGTCGCCGTGGCTGTTGCAGCTGACGCCGCGATCGTCTGCACCTCCGGGTTCTGATCCATGAGTTCGGAGCGGACACAGGCAAGACTGACCACAGCTTCTAACTCCTCCTGCTCCTCATCCATCAGAGCCTCGTCTGAGGTCTCCGCCACGACCACCAGCTCATCCGCCAGTGTGGGTGTGTTGGTACGCAGCGCAGCCGCTACCTCCTGTTCCGCAGCATCCTCCTCTTCGTCCTCTAAAATCATGCTGAAGCGTCGCAGTCTCTCCTCCGCTCCTGAGGCGGCCAGCGAGGCCGATATGGACTTGGGCAGGACTGCGCCAGCACCAAAGGGCTTCGGATTAGGGTTGAGACACGGCGCAGTGGCCGCACTAGTGGGTAGGAGGCCGCCGACAGCTGCTGCTGCAGCGGCGGAAGTGCGTTGCATGTAAGTCTGCTCAATCATCTTCGCTTGCGCTGACAGCTGTTTGTACTCCTCAATGTAGTTGCGCTTCAGTTTACGCTCAGCCAGCAGGTAGTAGGTGGCAGATATGTAGCTGTACTCGTTTCGGTTCAGAGCCATCTGTATCTCATCAACGCTGGCAAGGCCACCACTGGCCATCTTGTTGAGGATCTCCATGTGGTCCTCAAATGAGAGGTGTTCCTGGGAGACGAGGGGCACGGAGAAGAGGTCGATGGGAAGTTCGTCGCCGTCGAGGCGAAGCCAGTCATCCTGTAGGATTTCATCCAGCAGGGCGCGTTTTGCCGGATCACGGATGAGCAGGCGGGAGATGAGGTTGCAGCAGGCTGGCGAGAGATGGGGCGGTAGCTGGTACTCGCAGTCCATTATCTTGGTCAGTGTCTCACTGTCGTTGGCCTCCTCAAATGGCAGATGACCGCAGACGAGCATGTAGAGGATCACTCCTAGGGACCAGATGTCCACCTTCGGGGCGTCGTAGGAGTTGCCAAGGAGGATTTCGGGCGCGGAGTAGGCCAGAGAGCCACAAGCCGTTTCCAGGTGTTTTCCGGGCACAAATTGGTTGCTGAATCCAAAGTCCGTCAACTTGACAACGCCCAACTGTTCAAAGAAGACCACATTTTCCGGCTTAAGGTCACGATGGACCACGTGAAGATTGTGGCAGTAGGAAATGGCGGTCACTATTTGACGAAAGTAACGTTTCGCCAGGTGTTCCGATAGTCCATTTTCGTGTTTCATGATATAATCGTAAAGATCACCGCCATCACCCAGTTCAAGGACGAGATAGAGTTTGTTTACTGTATCTATGACCTCATACAGACGGACGACGTTGGGATGCTGGACGAGTTTCATGCAGACAACCTCCTGAAAAAGGTGTTCTCGAGAGACCTGATCAAGTTTTGTCTTATCGATCACCTTCACTGCTACACTCTCCCCTGTGAAGACGTGTCGGGCCAGTTTTACCACAGCATAGTGTCCCTTTCCAATGGTCGGACCAAGGTCATACAGGCCGGCTACCTTGGTTTCCTGAGCGTCTTCGAAGAACCGACGATACTGTGCCATTGACTAAAACAAACAAGACTGAGTGGTTCAAATGCGAACTTTATTGATTCCAGTAAAACGAACTTACAATTGGTAAAACAGAAAAGAACACGGATCCAAACAACTGATGTAAGTCAAAACAAGCCCTTAAAGGGACGGAAACTAAACTTGATGCTGGTCTCTTGGGAGGCATGACACTGCTAGGATGGCACAAAAGCTTTATTTCACAGGTATGGCTAAATTTTGGTCTCTTCCATTCCGCTAATGAGCGAAGCTATGCGGCTATCGATAGAGTCGACGCCGAACCGCATTACGCAATGACGAAAGCTGAAAGTCTGCCTTCGCATTGGAGGGATTGCAGTATTGATTAGCAAGGGTCATGATTGAACAGTCCTCCAGCCACCAGAGTAAGTAGTGGTCGGGAAATGGAAACTTTAGTAGTATATGTGTTCCTTTCACCGACTTTTCCACTCCTCCCTCAAGGCAGGGATAGTTCCTAGAAAAGTGGATGGAAAAGTTATCTTTATGGCCCCTTCGTAGACGACATTTTCGCATTCTGTAAGTCATGGATAATGCGACCTACGCAAGCAGCTATATCCGCGGCTCAGTGCTGTATGCGACCAGAAAAATAACTTGTGGAAATCTGACTATGCTACCACATGCTGACTAATTAATATACCCGTTCCAGTGCAGTTACGACACTTTTGCCTTCCTATTGCGAGGCGCTTTTGAGGCTTTCGGTG